GGGGATGGTTCTACCTGTCGGGTACCCATACCCGTACCCGAAACCGGCCCCGATGGGTACCCGATATATATATATATATATATATATATATATATATAGTATTAATTATGTTTTTATTTTTAATAATGCATAAGCAAATGTTCGGTAGACAAAATAAGGTTTTGTAACAATCAAACGTATAGTTTTGGGAAGACTTTTTATGTCTTTTTTTTGCAAAGCATGATTTAATTGGTAACCTTGAATGTTATTGTTCGTGTTTGAAGACATTCAGTGATTATAGTGTTTTATATTAATTCTGTTAGTTTTTGTTTTGTTGGTTAATATATAATTATGAGTTATTTTTCATAAAAGTTCAAAACTTTGTAACGGGGAAAAATCCCCGATTACCCATTGGGGATCCCCGATACCCATTGGGGATGGGGATGGGGATAGATTTCTAATCCCGATGGGGATGGGGTCGGGTATGGGGATGGGTATGGGGATTCGGATATGGGGATGGGGAACACGAAACCCGGTATACCCGTACCCATTGCCATCCCTACATGTGGTGTTACTGGCCACATGAAGCGTTTCTGCCCTACTCTTACTAGTCAAAGGGCGGGGAGTCAAGCTTCTGTTCAACAATCGGCGAGAAGTCAAGCTCCTGTTCAACAATCAAGGAGTACTCCAACTAAAAAGGAGGAGGTTCCAAAAGCTAAGGGTCGTGCATTCCAGATCACTATAGAAGAGGCACGCGAGAACTCGAATGTTGTGACGGGTACATTTCTTGTTAACTCTAGACCTGCTCACATCTTATTTGATTCTGGTGCCTCAGATTCTTTTGTGTCTTATGAATTTGCGGATTCTTTTCAAACTGCTTGCTATGCACTCGCGCAACCATTTCACGTAGATACTGCTGTAAGTATATCATTACTTGCCGATAAAGTCTATAGGAATTGTGTTATAGAAATTGAAGGCTACAATTTTCTTGCTAATCTAATTCCTATCTCCTTGCCCAACTTTGACATTATTCTCGGCATGGATTGGTTGTCAAAGAACCCTGCAGAACTCTTGTGCTATGAAAAGATAGTACGTATTCCCATTGAAGGGGAGAATCCTATCTATGTCTACGATGAACAAAGAATCTTAAAAATAATCTCTTTCCTCAAAGCTCATAAATTTATATCGAAGGGGTGCCCTATCTATCTGACCTATACAGTTGATATCTCAAGAGAGGAGAATAAAACAGTGAATGATGTTCCCATTGCTAAAGAATATCCAGATGTTTTTCCCGAAGAATTGCCTGGACTTCCTCCGGACAGGCAAGTAGAATTCCGAATTGACCTTGTGTCTGGCGCTGCTCCGATTACAAAGACTCCTTATCGTCTTGCGCCAGCTAAGATGAAAGAAATGATGATCCAACTGCAGGAACTACTTGACAAAGGTTTCATTCGACCGAGTACCTCTCCCAGGGGTGCTCCGGTATTGTTTGTCAAGAAGAAAGATGGATCGATGCGGATGTGCATTGATTATCGCGAGCTAAATACGGTGACTATCAAGAACAAGTACCCACTACCTCGCATCGACGATTTTTTCGATCAACTTCAGGGTGTTAGCTATTTCTCAAAGATTGATTTGAGATCTGGCTATCATCAGTTGAAAGTACAAGAGCAGGATGTACCAAAGACTGCTTTCGTACTCGATATGGGCATTATGAATTCCTTGTCATGCCATCCAGTCTTACAAATGCTCCTCCTGTATTCATGGATATGATGAATCGGGTATGCCGTCCAATGCTCGATAAATCTGCCATCGTATTCGTTGACGATATTCTAATCTATTCCAAGTCTGAAGCTGATCATGCCATACATATTCGTGCGGTATTAGAACTTCTTCGAAAGGAGAAACTATATGCTAAATTCTCGAAATGTGAATTTTGGCTTCGCCAAGTTCAATTTCTCAGCCATGTTATTTCTGGTGACGGTGTATTAGTAGATCCTACCAAAATCGAAGCTATTCAAAATTGGGAAGTGCCCCGTAATGCTTCCGAAATTCGCATTTTCTTGGGTCTCGTGGGATATTACCGGAGATTCATTAAATACTTTTCTTGTATAGCCGTACCTCTCACGAGTCTTACACGAAAGGAAGTGAAGTTCGAATGGGGTGAAGCCCAAGAAAAAGCTTTCTCAACTCTAAAAGATCTTTTGACTCATGCTCCAATCTTATCACTCCCAAAAGGTGATGATGATTTCTCCGTATATAGCGATGCTTCAAGATTGGGACTCGGTTGTGTGTTGATGCAACGTGGTAAAGTGATAGCCTATGCCTCAAGACAACTGAAAGATTATGAAAAGAATTATCCCACTCATGATCTCGAACTCGCTGCAGTGGTATTTGCCCTAAAACTTTAGAGACATTACCTCTTTGGTACAAAATGTCAATTGTATACCGACCACAAGAGTCTCAAGTATATATTCGGTCAGCAAACTCTGAATATGAGACAACAACGAGCCATGGAGATGATCAAAGACTATGACTGTGAAATCCTGTATCATCCTGGAAAGGCTAATGTAGTTGCTGATGCACTTAGCAGAAAGGTATATCGTAATAGTATGTGTTATGCTATTACTCACACTACAGTAAAGTTCACTATTCTAGATGAACCAGAGAAATGGCAAGTAGAGGCCCTAAAGCCAGAAAATGTGAAGAAAGAAGGGATGGTACATTATACCGATGTTTTACTTGATGATCCACGAGGATTAAAGGTATTCAAGAGTCGGCTATGGATTCCAAAGATTGGTGGATTAAGAAAGAAGATTTTAGATGAAGCTCATAAGTCTAAGCTGTCAATACATCCTGGTACAAGTAAAATGTAATATGATGTAAGAGCTGATTATTGGTGGCCTGGATTAAATAGAGACATTGGAAGATATGTACAAGAATGCTTAGTATGCTTACAAGTCAAAACAGAGCACCAAAAGCCTTACGGAACTCAAGAAAGTCTTAGTGTTCCTATATGGAAATGGGAAGAACTTTCCATGGATTTTATTACCAATTTGCCAAAGACTGCTAGACAGAATGATAGCATTTGGGTAATCGTCGACCGCCTGACTAAAAGCGCTCATTTTCTTGCCATGCGTGAAACGGCTCCAATGGAGAAATACGCACAAGTATACTTGGATGAAATTGTTGTAAGACATGGTGTGCCACTAAAGATCATTTCTGATCGTGATACTCGCTTCACATCTCACTTTTGGGCGAGTATGCAATGTGAATTGGGATCCCGAGTTGCTCTCAGTAGAGCTTATCATCCCCAGACAGACGGTCAGACGGAGAGAACAATCCAAACAGTAGAAGATATGCTTCGTGCATGTGTCTTGGAGTTCGGTGGTAACTGGGATAAATACTTACCTCTTGTCGAATTCTCGTATAATAACAGTTACCACGCTTCAATCAAAATGCCACCATATGAAGCATTATATGGTCACAAATGTCGTACGCCATTATGTTGGTGTGATGTAGGACAGAAGATCCTTGTAGGCCCTGAAATGATTCAAGACACCACCGACAAGATTCAAATTGTACGAGAAAGAATGAAAGGCGCCCAGGATCGACAAAATTCCTATACGGAAAAGAGGAGGCGACCAACAGAATTCCAGGTGGGTGATTTTGTAATGTTGAAGGTATCCCCATGGAAAGGCCTTATGCGATTTGGAAAGAAAGGAAAATTGAGTCCTAGATTTGTTGGTCCTTTCAAAATCCTCCAGAGGATTGGTAAACAAGCATACCGCTTGGAATTTCCTGAAGATTTGGCAGGTATTCATGATGTCTTTCATGTGAGTTATCTGCGCAAATGCTTGAGCATTTATGATGAGACAGTTCCATTATCCGAGGTGAAATTGGATAATAAGTTAAGATATGTAGAAGAGCCTGACGAGATCGTGAATGAAAGAACAACTAATCTACGTAATAAAGAAGTAGATTTGGTGCATGTCAAGTGGAAACACCATCGAGGCCCGAACTATACTTGGGAGAATAAGAATGAGATAAGAGCGAAATATCCCCATTTATTTTAATCGATGTAATTTCAGGGACGAAATCCTCAAAAGGAGGAGGTATTTGTAACATACACGTTTTGAAATCGTGTTTTAAGTAAATAATATTATGAAATATTATGTGATATTGAGTATTGAGTTCTAACGGATAGTTTTTACTAGATATAAAGTAAAACTATGTTTAGAATCACTCGGAAAATATTGGAAGTCTTATGAGATTCCAATTAAAAGATAAATATCGAAATTTAACGAAAATATAAAATTTGAAATAAGTAAAATTTTATTAATGAAAGTTGTAGATAATTTCGTTAGAAACATTTAGGTGAAAACCTCATCGAAATCTGAGTTATAACAAAGAAGTTATGACCAATCGAAGATCCGCGACAAAACCGGCACGGCGCCGAATGACGTAAAAACTGAGTTTTTGATAAACTACTTTTTAGCCTTAGTTATCTAAATGAAAGTCGTAGTATTCGCTAAACCGAGAAGTTCGATAAAAAGAACGCCAAAATCTGATTTCGTATGAGGAAGTTATGATTTTTCTAAGTTTCAGCTTAGTAGTAGACAGCTAAAAACTCGAATTTTAGATCGAGTGATTTTTAGGCGAAACAACCTAAACGATAATTGAAGATCTCTTCAATAGTAGTACAACGGTAAAAAGTCTGACGAAAACGGATGTCAGATGAAGAAGTTATGAATTTTTAACGGATTTTCCTGTCCCGGTCTGTTCAAAATAATAATATTAAAAATAAAGTCAAAATTATCCGACGAAGTCCAAACGAAAGTTGCAGAGCGTAATTTTCCCTATGCGTGCATATAAAGAACGTCAAAAACGGAGCTCGTATGCGAAAGTTATGGATTTTAGAAGATTTGGGCACAATTTCCGAGGAATCTCGCAAGGATAAGGCCAATCTCGGTGAGTCACCCGCTGAGTCCGACGCGTGTCGCTTGCTGATTTGATCAAGGATGTGGTCCAATGGCCTTCCGACGCGCCTCACTTCTGACTTCGCCCCGTGTCCGAAGCGTTGGACCAATCTGGTTCCGATGCGTGTCATCCGAGCCTCGCTGATGACTCCTCCGGATCCGAGCCTCGCTCCAGCTGTCGCGTGTCCTTCTTCCTTCGGTCGAAGCTCCGGACCTCACTACTATAAATAGTAGCTGCGAACCCTCCCGGCTAATGTTAGGAAATTTACACATTTTCACCCCTAAATCCATATTTCCACTATTTCAACTTCCCCCGAAGCCCCGGGATTATTTCCAACGCCCGAAACACGCCCCGAAGTTCTCGAGAAGCCCGAAAAATTTATCTTTTTGGTTTTGAAGCTCTACCGTCGTAGAGCCCGATTTTCAAGAAAACTCTCGGTTTTCAACGAAGAAAGCTAATTATAGTAACGAAGTGCTGCCCAAATTACTATGTTAACCCCCAGTTATTTCTCGGTGAGTTTAATATATAGGAACAATTGTATGTTATGTGTTATATGTGCTATGTGTTTCTCCATGTTATCATCTCGTGTTATTATTTCTGCTATTTTTATAGCAAGGCTATACCTCTGACCACGAAGTGTATGACATAGGCATCACTTGGGTATTGGTATGTACCGTTGACCATGAAGTGTATGACATAGGCATCACTTTGGCTTCGGCAGTATGCTAAGATAAGGATGAAAGCCTGAATAATCTAGCAAAATGATATTCCTGAGTATTTTCTGTGCCACTTGTGCTGAAACTTTATTGATTGTATATCAAGTATGGAAATTGTTATGTCTCATTGATTGATATGGAAAGCTTTTCGCATTATTCACATATGCCTTTGTTGTTCCTTGTTCCTCCTTGCTTCTGCCATATTGAAGTGTATATATGGAATAACGTTATATTGTATCTATTATTGAACTCACTAAGCGTCACCGCTTACCCCTCTCTATGTTTAACAATTGCAGGAGATAAATAAGCAGTATGATAGTATACTGTTGGAAGATTTAGAATAGTTTGTAATAGTACTTTTGTACTTCAGTTTATGTTTGTATAAAATTACAATATCCTGGGTAGTTATGTAAAATTATTAAAACTTAGTCGATTTGTATCCAGTCCTTTGTAATCAAATTATCAATGTAAAATATTATATATGAATATGCATGTAGCATGTTTTTGGAGTAACAATATTGTGAAGTATGAAAGTTTGGGTCTTTCAGAAATACGAAAGTTTAAAAAGGGGTTCTTTCATAAATTCGCACAGCCTGGCGCTTCTGCCACCGGCTAAGGGTGCGACAGATTGGTATCAGAGCTTCAGATTATAGCGAACTAGTAACTGCTTAGGAAATACAACTATAATCTAGGACTACACTTTGATTAGGTTTAACCCTTTAAGCCTAATAAACTAATACGTACTAATATTAATTACCTTACTTCTTGACTACTTACAGGAGAGATGACTAGTTTGAACTATCGTTTGGGTTGTTGGATTTCAGAACAGCTATATGCTAAAATGGTCCTACCCTCTGGTACTTCTCACTTGGCCGGTCCTTACAAAACCCTAAAATACACCGAACCCAACAAAGATTAAAAGATATAGAGCGATATAGATACACTCATATAAGTATATCAACTACCCACCAAAACGAACCCACGAAGTCGCAACTCAGGATTTTAGGTCAAAAACCATATTTAGAGTTAGCATAGTACATGAGTTGTACCACAACTAGACCTAGAATGTGCAACTAAGTTTTATTATGGTTTAACCGACACATGACCGAACTCGAATACGGTGGTTAGCAATCTAAATGCTTGAGGACTTATGGATTGGATGCATAGGCAAGAATTATATAGGCAGAGGCTTCTCTTAGAGACTTCTATGTCTGGGGATTTATGACTCAACGATATTTACACTCGATGATCTTATGCCCTAGGAACCACTGACTTACGACATAGTTGGGGGACTCAAGAGTTACGGGTACTCTATATTACATACTTATAATTGTATATTATATATTATTTTATTGATCTTCACATCTATCATAAAACATCTTCATGTTTGATGTCTTATGCAGGTTTACCGAGAGCATGGCAGACGATGGATCATGGAGGGAAGCTTCCTCATCAGAGGAGGAGCGTGCGGTACTTGATGACTTAGACCCTGTAGATACCCCAGAGACGGAGGATGGTGATGACACAGAGCCAGATTATACTCCCGCTGAGCACCCTTTAGAGCCAACCCTTTCACCAGATTGCACACTGGCTGGGATAAAGCTTCTTCATTCCAAGTACGAGCATGAAGAGGACGAGGAGGAAACTTCCACTCCACGGGAGACCTCACCACCCCGCCCCACTCCTTCACACTGATATTACAGGACACACACGGGTACCCGGGTGAAGCAAACCCCGATGACGTCTACTGCTACTTCCTCTCAGAAGAGAGCGGCGTCCACACCAGCATCACCACTGCCAGCAAAGAAACCTTGAGGAGATGCCACTTGGATGCCTCAAATATGATCCTGGATGCAGGAGGAGGATATCGGCTCGCGGTTCGAGGTGGGGGAGTCATCCACTATACTTCCCCTATCCTGGATACCCCAGTCGAGCAGGTTATTCTCTTTTGTTACCCCGTACACCCCATCACACGGATTTCATCAGATCGATGGACTCTAAGCTCTTCTTATTAAGGATAACCTTGATCCAAATCACGGAGCGGTTACAGTACTTGGAGGAGGAGAGGGACGTGATGGATATGAGGACCCTACTCATACAGGATCAGCTGCAGGAGACGAGGGATGAGCCCCAGTTCCATCATCAGGTGTTGGAGGAGGTGATTAGCCATACATGCCGATTGGAGCTCCATGTGGAGAGGATGGAGTCTCGATTTTCCTTGTCTGACATTTGGTTGGAGTTAGAATATAGACTGTTGGTTCAGTTGATGGCACTCTTGATAGTGTACTGTGGATTTTAGTTTTCTTTCGTTTTGCCCTAGCATGATGGCTAGGAGGGATACTGATACTTTTTTGGGTTAGAGAATTGGGAAAAGCTCATACACGCATGTTTTGTATCCTCAGAGCTTTTCCTACCCTAACCACACCCTGTTTTAGTAACTTCAGCATAATATATTACGCATATTATACTTATGTGGTCGCATGAAATATGTGTTGTTGTGCTATTATTGTTTCCATTAATATTAAGACTAACACACCACGACCTAACCATGAAGATACGAACTTACTAATTCTGAGGAATTAACTCACGTCTCGACACTAACTTTAGGAATCTAGAAATGGCACCCCTAAGAATTACCATATCTAGTCAAGGACTTCAAGCTGAGCAGGATGCTCGGTCTGTATAGAGTAACCCACCTCTATACCACACGACTATTGAGAAAATGGTTGGACAGAGAATATCCGAGGCGCTAGTCGCACAAGGGAATGGTCGCCACACAAACTCTAGGACATGAGGTGAAGGATCCCAAGGAAAAGAGAAGGGTGCACAAAGAGCATGCACCTACAAGGACTTTATGAACTGCAAACGTAGGACGTTATATAGGAACAAGGGATTTGTAGGCGTCACCAGATGGATCGAGAATACTGAGTTTGTCTTCAAGACCAACTCTTGTGCCGAGGGAAGCAAGTTTAAGTTCACCGCTTGCACTTTTATAACGCAACTATGTCTTGGTGGAATGGCCACATCAAGACCATGGGTCTCACGACTGCTAATTCTCTAACTTGGGAAGAACTGAAGCAAATGTTCATCGAGGAGTATTTCCCTCGGGAAGAAATGCAACAATTGGAGCAAGAATTGTGGAACTTGACCATGAGAGACGCCAACATCTTGACCTAAACCAATAGATTCAACGACCTCGCTACCTTTTATCCCAAACTTTGTTAACCCTGACTACAAGAAAGTGGAGAGGTACATATGGGTATTGGTTCAACCCATTCAAGGGTTTGTCATGGTCTCTCGACCATCGACATGCGATAGTGCCAAATGGTTGGCTTACAGCCTAACCAAACAAAAATTAAGACGAGGCACGTTGGTCTAGAAGACCGATATCCCAAAGTCAAGGGAAAAAAAGCAAAAATCCGAAAGCGGATTCAAGGGTACCTCCAAGCAAACTCCCAAAAAGAGACATGAAACTGTTAGGGCATACATCATTAGTCCGAACCCGACACCGGCTATGTCCCTCGCATCTCAAGGACTATACACGACAAAAAACACCAGAAGTGCAACTCGTGTCACTTCCACCACTCCGGAAACTGCATGCATTGTACCAGGTGAAATTGTAGAGGGCATACGGAGAGATACTGCCAACAGCCCGTGACTGATCCTACTGCCACAACTAATCCAGGCATGGCTGCCTTGTCGGATAATTGAGCCTGCTTTGAGTGTGGGATCATTAGACACATCAAAATGAATTGTCTAAAGCTAAGGAATGAGGTAGGAAATGCCTGAGGAAGAGCGTTTGTGATAGGCACGAAGGATGCCATTCCGGACTCCACCATTGTGACAAGTACATTCCCTGTTAACAATTTATACCCATCTATACTCTTTGATTCTGGTGCTAAAAGAAGTTTCATTACGCCTAAGTTTAGAAAAAATTTAAGCCATATGTCTATGAACATAGATGAGCCTTATATAGTAGAAATGGCCAATGGAGAATCTGTTAGTACTCAAGAAATACTAGAAAACTGCCTTCTAACTCTCAATAAACCATACTTTTCACGTCAACCTCATGCCAATGACCATCGGTAGCTTCAATGTCATAATCGGCATGGATTAGTTATTGTTGCACCAAGCTGAGATCTTATGCTATGAAAAGGTAGTACGACGACCCTTACCTAACGGGGAATCCTTAATAATCTATAGAGATATGACCAACAAAAGCCTTAGAATCATCTCTTGTATGAAGGAACAGAAGTACCTTCACAAGAAGTATCACGCTTTCTTGGCCCACATCATATATAAGAGGAGTGAGAAGAAGGATATCAAGGACATACACCAAGTATGTGATTTTCACAATGTATTTCTGTAGGACTTGCCCGGACTACTGCCAATTCGTGAAGTCGAGTTTCGAATTGACCTAGTTCCAGGGGCTCTCCAGTGGCAAAATCTCCTTACCGATTAGCCATTCAAAAATGCAAGAGTTGTTCGGTCAACTCTAGGAGCTTTTGGATAAAGGCTTTATAAGACCAAGCTTCTCACCCTGGGGAGCCCCGGTGTTATTCGTAAAGAAGAAGGACGAAACCTTCAGAATGTGCATCGATTATCGATAACTGAATAAGCTGATGATTAAGAACAGATATACACTCCCAAGGATTGACGATCTATTTGATAAACTTTAGGGATCCAACTTCTACTTAAAGATTGATTTAAGGTCAGGGTACCATCAACTTCGAGTACAGGAAGAAGACATCCCGAAGACGACATTCATAACTCGTTATGGCCACTACGAGTTCCTAGTTATGCCTTTTGGCCTAACTAATGCCCCAATAGTCTTCATGGATATAATGAACCGTGCTATAAACCCTAGCTTGACAATTTTGTGATCGTATGCATTGATGATATATTGATATACTCACGAACAAAAGGAGAACACGGTAAACACCTTCGAATCATTTTGGAGTTCTTAAGGAATGAGAAATTGTATAGAAAATTCTCGAAGTTTGAATTTTGGATCAGGGAAGTACACTTTCTAGGAGACGTGGTTAGCGACAAGTGTGTTTCCGTAGATCCTTCCAAGATCAAGGCCATAAAGAATTGGGAAGCACCCACAACGCCAATAGAGGTGCGTCAATTTCTAGGATTGGCAGGCTATTACAGGAGATTTATAGAAAATTTATCTAAGATAGCAAAGCCCCTCACGACACTTACACAGAAAGATACGAAGTTCGAATGGAAAGAATGACAAGAATCTGCATTTCAGAAGTTGAAACACATGATGTGTAGTGCGACAAATCTTTCACTTTCAGAAGGAACCAAAGGCTTTGTCGTTTATTGCGATGGATCACATCAGGGAACAGGATGCTTACTTATGCAAAAGGATAAAGTGATCGGTTATTCTTCGCGCCAACTGATGACACACGAGAATAATTACACCACCCACGACTTGGAATTGGGAGCTATATTTTTTGCCTTAAAGATCTAGTGACCTACTTGTATGGCACGATGTGTGTCATATACACCGACCACAAAAGTCTTCAGCACATCTTCAACCAAAAAGAACTCAACATGAGACAACGAAGATGGCTTGAGCTGCTAAATGAGTACGAGTGTGAGATTCGATACCACCCGGGCAAGGCTAACGTAGTAGCTGATGCCCTAAGTAGAAAGGAATGAGTCAAACCTCGCAGAGTGAAATCGCTCACTCTAACAATCCAATCAAACCTTCCTACTCAAATCCGAGAAGCTCAAGTAGAGGCACTTAAGGAAGAAAACAAGGCCGGAGAATGCCTACAAGGTATGGAGAAACAATTCGGGTCCAAGGGAGATGGAACCTTGTGTTTCATGGACTAAATTTGGGTACCAAAATTAGGCGACATCAGGAGCATGGTATTGAACCTTGCGTTTCAACTAGAATCTGATAAGATGCATCTTGACTTCAAGAAAAGGTACTGGTGGCCGAAATTAATGGCAGAAATCGCCACCTACATGAGAAAGTTTTTGACCTGCACTAAGGTTAAGGCAGAATACCAAAAACCATTGGGTTTACTACCACTACCCGAAATTCCAAAATGGAAATGAGAACAAGTTGCCGTGGACTTCATCACAAACTACCCAAGATTCCTAGTGGTTACAACAGGATTTGGGTAGTTATCAATCGTCTAAATAATTCTCCCCATTTCCTACCCACTAAGGAAACCGACAAAATGGAGAAGTTAGCCAAGACTTATGTCAGAGAGATAGTCCGCCTACACGGCATACCGACATCGATCATCTCGGACAGAGACAACCGATTTACATCCCGGTTTTGGAAAACAATACAACAGGCATTAGGAACTCGACTCGATATGAGTACCACATATCATCCACACATAGATAGTCAAAGCTAGAGGACCATACAAACCTTAGAAGATATCCTTAAAGTATGTGTGATAGACATTGGAGATTGATGGGATATTCACCTACCGTTGGTTGAGTTGTCCTATGACATTAGTTATCACATGAGTATAAAGGTTGCACCATTTGAAGTGCTTTATGGTAAAAAGTGTTGTTCACCACTGTGTTGGGCAGAAGTCGGTGATACCCAACTAGCAAAGAAACACGCAGGGAACACTTTGCTAACCGAACCGGAGATTATTCACGAAACAACCAAGAAAATCGTGAAGATTAAGGAACGATTAAGAACGGGTCGTGATCGTCAAAAGAAATGTGCCGACTTACAATGAAAGCCATTTGAATTTCAAGTTGGAGATAGAGTCATGCTAAGAGTATCTCCTTAGAGAGGAGTTATACGATTTACAAAAAGGGCAAACTCAACCTGAGGTATATAGACCTTTTGAGATACTTGCCAAAATAGGCCTAGTAGCCTACCCACTCGCTCTACCCCAGGAACTGAACAGCGTGCACAATGTCTTTTTAACACCTTGTTTTCTATCTAGCTATTTGAAAATAAGGTTATTAAATAATTCGAATAATGATTTCCTTCAAGGATAACTTGTAAAGTGAAATAAGAGGTATTAATTAAAAAGATTAATTAAGCATATTATTAAGGTATAATAATAATAATAATAATGATAATAATAATCAAAATAAATCAATTTCCTTAATTAATTAGGAATTATAGTCTAGGGTTCAAATTGTAATTATCAGAAACTCAAATGGTTAAGACAAATCTAGGAGGGGGTCTTTTCTGCCAACCAATTAAAACTTAAGGACCAAAGGTGCAAAAACCTGTAATGTATTTGTCTTCTTCGCAACAAAGAACGCAGCAACAATGCTTGGTTCATTCCCGTTTATGGACCCGCAACACTCTGTATTTACGAAGGTAAACCAATCCCAACCATTTACAACCATACTTATACTACCATTGGAAGAAGTTAGGGTTAAGGAGAGTGAGAGAGAGCCGCAAGAGGGGTTGCGATGTGTGTGTGAGAGTGTGTGTGCGCTCCGATGGTACTCCCAGTCGCCTCCAACAATAGTTCGTGTGTGAATTCACTCGCCATCTTATAGAGAAAGAAAGAGAGATCGAGACAGGAAGAGTTAGAGAGTGTTATAGAAAAGAAATAGATTTGTGATGTTACATGTTCCTGGTGATGTTCCCGGTGAACAAACCACCCCCAACATATCTTCGTTTTAGTTTCGTTGTGCCTCCGGTATGACGAAACTCAAGCTGTTGATGGGTCGATTTTGAAAGAAAGAAATGATGTCGGAGTTTGAGGAACCATCGAGGGTTAATCGGTCACCTGTGGAGACATCAATGGGGTGCTAAGCAGGAGGCTTGGAGGGGTCATAGTCATTAGGAAGCGAGGTGTCACCAGAAAAGGTGTGTCGGCGAGAAGAAGATTGTGCTAGAGAAGGGCAGTCACCGGTGGAGGAAGAGTTTGTGCACATGAAGAAGCTCTGTGACGCCGATGTTAAGAGGTATTCGACTGTTTGACTCTCCCTTCCCTATTTTTGAATTTAGGTTTGACTTAGTGGGCTTCATTAGTCTGACTATCGATTTTGGGCTGATTGGGCTAAATGAATGTTAATATGTAGGAGGCATGGTTATATGGGCTAATTAACTCCAATTGCTTGATTATTAAGATTTCAAAACATGGAAAATATTATAAAGATAGGTTGTGGTTTAATTATTTATAATATGAGTTTACCGACTATTTAAGTTGTGTGAATTAAGATAATATCTAGTAGAGTGATGGACTTAATGGATTAAGTCCTTAATGGGTTAAGTAAGAAACACTTAACCCTAATCGCCATTTTATGTAAAAACCCTAATCTTACTTGGGCCTTAAGTTGGGCCTTTCTATTGGGCTTTGGTGATTAGGCTATTGATGGGCAATTCAAGAACAATCATGTGGATTAAGAATATATGGATGAGATTTAGGGTAAGGCCCGTGTAAGGGGTTTGGGCCCACTTTGGAAATTGGGCCATAGATGGGCCATAATTGGGCCTTTATGATTATAAGATATCGGGCCGTTAGAAATGCCAATTGTTTGGACTGGACTAAATGGTTGGCCTTAGAATAAGACCATGTAAAGGTTTGGGCCATATGTTGGGCTTTGATTCATAGTTGGACTTTTGGGCCTTTGGATTGGGCCTTGAGTTTGAATCAAGCTAAGATGGGGGTAAAGTAGTCTTTTACCCCAAGCATGGACTTATGATTTTGTGTTGGAACCCAATTATTAATTGGGTATTGTTTTGATATTGACAGTTCAGGAAGCTGTCATCCAGTAGCCAGAGTTTTTTCTACGAGACTTCAGCAGTGTGAGGTGAGTTTCCTTCCAGTAGAAGTGGGTCTAAGGCCACAATGTCGGCCCACTAGTAGGAGTTGTTTGTTAGATGATTGTCTTTGTGATAATTATTTGGTATGCCATTATCTGTTATGTTTGTGTGCTAGGATGCTCTGTGATACATGTTAGTAGTAGTAGGGGTGAAATAGTCCCCAGATACCGGTTGAAAGATACCGAAGGGGAGGTTAGCTCCCGGTTACCAGTTGAAAGATACCGAAGGGGAGGTTAGCTCCCGGTTACCAGTTGAAAGATACCGAAGGGGAAGTTACTTCCCGGTCACCGGTTGAAAGATACCGAAGGGGATCCCAGCTCCTAGTTATGCCAGATAGATATCGGTTGAAAGATACCGAGGGATAGGCATTATGTGGTATGTGGTATAATGGGGGAACTCACTAAGCTTCGTGTTTACGGTTTTCAGTTTTGGTTTCAGGTACTTCGTTTTCAAAGGAAAGGAGCCGACGATCGCAGCGCATCACACTATGTTTTCCGCACATGAGATCTTTGGGGTTACACTCTGATATTGTTTAATGGATGTTTTTATACTGTTGGTTTATGAATTGTTAAACAAAAAAAATTTGGTCTTAATTTTTGGGATGTTACAAGTTGGTATCAGAACCTTGGTTTGAGGGATTTGGGTGCACCCTCGGGTGTGTCTGAACTCAAACTGAGGACTTGGTATGAAAATTTTCAAAATAAAAACCATTTTTATAAAAAATAATTTTGAAAAGAATTTGAAAAGAGAAAAGAACTTTGAAAAGAACAAGGTGTGTGATGCGCGCAATCAGCCGAGCTCAAGTAAGTTTTCCCCAAGATACATATACATGTTATTTTATGATATGATATGATTATGAGAACTGCATTCTAGATTAGGGCTAAGGATCTAGGAAGGATGCCTTATATGCCTATTGTATGTGCTTGTAGACTTGCATGCTAGTACTGATCAGTCAGTGATAGAATAGCCTGTTTAGGTTATGCCTGATTGTATGAGCCTTAGAATCTCATGCCAGTATAAAATTTTGATAAGAGGATAGAATGATTTGATTGGAATATGTTGGTCAGATTTTCCATTGTCTGAATGTTGCTTGCTTTTTGCTTTGTGGGACTCTTAGTAATGTGAGCTAGCTATTAAGTAAATATGCTAAGTCACATGTGGCACAGGCTGGATAATATCAGAGTGATAGATTTGACCCTATTGCGCAGCTCTTGTCTGAGTCCAACCATTATAGGGTTGAGTCTTTTACTCTAAGGATTATCTGATCTCTGTTGCATGTGGCTATATTCATGAGGTAGCTAGTTGACATTACTGGGAATCTTTCAGTAGCTGAGGACTGGGTGGGTACGAGAACCTAGGGAAGCCTAGGAAATGATTTAGTGGACTTGGTTGCATTGTTAGCGAGCATTCAGGGTATCAGTTCGAGAAGGTGACTTGGAGGATTCGGGATGATTCTTGAGGAAAGTATGGATAGGTGTGGAAGGTTTTATTGGGCCCGTTCTACTGAAAGCACAGGATCCATACTCGAATCAGGGAGAGTCTTGGAGAATCTAGGAAGCCTGTGGGATAATGATTCTTGGGTATATTCGGATCTCTTGAATGTCAGTTCGGTATGGTGGAGAGCACTTAAGAATGGGATTCAGATTCTGGTTACGGCTCAGGAGCAGGATCTGGACCAATCGATGCGTGATCGCGGGAGTTCATCTCATCGGAGATTACTCACAGAGTTTGGGAATGGACCTCGGTGGTCTTTCATTCATCCAAGGAAAGGATTTTGGAGCCTTCTACAGTCATCTCAGGGCCTATTGGGTCGAAAATAGTCGCGGGGCAGTTAGGGGCTCACCCGGAGCCCAAAGCCTGTGGATCCTTAGAATCCTTCAGGAAGGAGGATCCTATTGTTAGTTCCTGTCATCGGGATCAGAAGGGAGTTTTCCACCATGATCTTAGGAGGGTCAAAGTACCTCTGGAGATGGTGATCAGGATTCCTCCAGATGTTGCGGGTATGTCATCTTCTACTGCTACTAGGTGGATGTCGGGAATTTGTATCGCTTTGGAATTGTGAGTGAGTTTGGATAAGTCAGATCTTGGGTCGGTTCTCTGCTATTGTATGGGTTATCAAGGATTGTTATATGCCATTCTACATGCCGAAAATTCCTTGATGAACCCACAGAGGGACGCATCTTGCAGAGTGGGTTCCGCGTGTACCGTTATCATTCCGGATCTTTGTCAGGATCTGTGCAGGAGTATTATTTAGAGGATATCCGATCATGGTTAGAGCGATAGTTCTCCAGTGAAGTTAGAGTTTAGTGGTTCTATCATTGTTCGGGCATGGTCGACAATTGCTTATGAAAGAACTTTGGAGTTCAAGGCACTACCGTTGCTAGGAAGGGACTGGTAGCACGGAGATGGTGGTGTGAGTAGCGGGTGTTCGATGCATGGGTGTTCGGTCATTAGATGTTTGATAGAATTACATTTCTCACATGGGTTGTGTTTGGTTAGAGTTCAGTGGTGCTGTGGGATTGGAAGTGAGAACGAGGACTCGTCAGCCAAGGTGAAGATTAAGGACTCCAGTTGTCAACATAGGAGGTGGATTTAAGTGTCGGGCTGGACCAGATTTCAAGGTACTCTTCAAGATTTCAGAGGATGGGCGATCTTAGGGTTTAACTGGTAAGTGATCGCTAGCATGGGTAAGCATAGGTTGTTAACAACGGATTATTAGGAAGAAAGAAGGATTGGGAATCCTTCAATTCTCATGTACCGTGAAGACTTAGTTGAATCTAAGTGGGGTAGAATCGACCAGGTACTTAGGAGCAGTAATAGGTGTGAAACTAGGATGAGTTTTGCATCCTCGTCAGGACGGAAGGCGGTCGAGTGGCGATCTAGGTTAAGGATTAGGTGAGTTGGGAGTTTAGAAAACGTTCCAACATTTGGTTCATGCTTTTCCTTGGCATCGGATAACAGGTTTTGGGAACCAGGTTAGAGGTCCAATTAGAACTCAAGTTCAGTTGAGCGTTAGGTCGAGTGCATGTTCGGCCCGGTATGGAAAGTGTTGTAAGACTACGGGGGTAGCCGTAGCACTCACTAGCAGTCAGATAGCATATTAAAGTGTTGTAAGACTACGGGTGTAGCCGTAGCATTCACTAGCAGCAGATAGTGCTGGAAGTGATGTAAGTCTGCGGGTGTAACCGTAGCATTCACAAGGTTAGCAGATAGTGTTAGAGTGTTGTAAGTTTGGGGGTGTAGTTGTAGCATTCACTAGGTTGGTAGATAGCATGAGAGCGTTATTAGATCGCTGAATAAACAATAGTACCCACCTGTTCGGGTGCAGCAGTGAGGATATGGAAATCCATGGATTGGATTTTGGAATTACCAAGATGGATTAGATCTGGTTGAGCCAGTGATAAAACTGCAGGAGCACCACTACAGTTATGAGATCAAGGAAGCAATGGACTTCTTAAGGTCGTTTGTGATATAAGACTACCGTTGGTCATGTAGCAATCACTTTTAGCCTTGGATATGGTGACGTCAGGACTCGACGTATGAACCCGCACGGCTAGATCAGAAGGTTGTTAGAGCCACAATGGCATGATAACTAGTGGAAACTAGTTCCAGAGAAGATTTCGTTCGGAAGTCGTGTGAGGCGATGAAGTGTGAGTCCTTTGGCTCCGCAGCCGGGCCGGAACCCGGTATTTCAGATGATTGGCGAACGAGTAGAGACCAGGGAGGTCTCGGTAGATTTTGGAAAGCAGCCATGTGGCAACATACTGTTTCAGACAGTTCAGTGTTCCGGGCAGTTTCAGCGTTTGGGCAGTTATAGTATTTGTGTTTTAGGTTGCAGGTATGGATGGGTAACAAATTGTTGGGTTTATGCTAAGTCTCTCACAGTAGTATTAAATAATCTCAGAGTAGTCGATTTGATCGTGTTGCGCAGCTCTAGTCTGAGTCTAACCGTAGCATGGATGGATCTTCTACTCGAAGGATTATTTGAGCCTTCTGTCACGAATAAGTGCAATGGATTCAACAACAATGATTCAGTATAGTCGGTCTGTCAGGGAGTTAGACCATCTCGAGACTGCAGATTTCAGGTTGAGTAAATGTGATCATAATACAAGGAATTCATTTATCTTCGGGTTTTAGAACCCTGCGAGGGATTGTTTTGGTTGCCTTGGAAAGGCTAGGTTATGCTCGGGTTGTGGCCATGTCGTTCAATTTGTCTGGCGAGTAAGGAATGGTAAGGAATAATTTTGAGGATGAAATCTAATTGAAGTGGGGGAGAGTTGTAACACCTTGTTTTCTGTCTAGCTATTTGAAAATAAGGTTATTAAATAATTCAAATAATGATTTCACTCATGGATAACTTGTAAGGTGAAATAAGAGGTATTAATTAAAAAGATTAACTAAGCATACTATTAAGGTATAATAATAATAATGATAATAATAATCTAAATAAATCAATTTCCTTAATTAATTAGGAATTATAGTCTAGGGTTCAAATTGTAATTATCAGAAACTCAAATGGTTAAGACAAATCTAGGAGGGGGTCTTTTCTGCCAACCAACTAAAATTTAAGGACCAAAGGTGCAAAAACCTGTAATGTATTTGTCTTCTTCGCAACAAAGAACGCAGCAACAATGCTTGGTTCATTCCCGTTTATGGACCCGCAACACTCTGTATTTACGAAGGTAAACCAATCCCAACCATTTACAACCATACTTATACTACCATTGGAAGAAGTTAGGGTTAAGGAGAGTGAGAGAGAGCCGCAAGAGGGGTTGCGATGTGTGTGTGAGAGTGTGTGTGCGCTCCGATGGTACTCCCAGTCGCCTCCAACAATAGTTCGTGTGTGAATTCACTCGCCATCTTATAGAGAAAGAAAGAGAGATCTAGACAGGAAGAGTTAGAGAGTGTTATAGAAAAGAAATAGATTTGTGATGTTGCATGTTCCTGGTGAACAAACCACCCCCAACATATATTCATTTTAGTTTTGTTGTGCCTCCAGTATGACGAAACTCGAGCTGTTGATGGGTCGATTTTGAAAGAAAGAAATGATGTCGGAGTTTGAGGAACCATCGAGGGTTAATCGGTCACCTGTGGAGACATCAATGGGGTGATAAGAAGGAAGCATGGAGGGGTCGTAGTCATTGGGAAGCGAGGTGTCACCAGAAAAGGTGTGTCGGCGAGAAGAAGATTATGCTAGAGAAGGGCAGTCACCGGTGGAGAATGATATGTTCATCAATTGTTCAAGTGTAGAAACCTTAAGTCAACCATCGTTCTCTTATTGATTTTACATCAAACTCTTGTTTTTGTTGAATTGTATACTTAAATCTTAGTTTAATTCTAGTTTTATTTCAAGTATTTCAAAAGAACAAAACCACCATTTTTATTTTTATTGTCATTTTACAAGTATTTTTGCAAAGAGATTTTCATAGAGTTATAAAATTGAACCAATTTTTGTGGATACGATCCATTTACCACTATACACTATTTTAGTGTACAAGATTTAGGGTTATTAATTTTGTTGGTCTCGACAACCACAAGTAACGACAACATACATTGGGTTACACGATGTGGCAAGAATACCGCAACGTGGTGCGAAAGTAGATTGCTATATTTTATCTTAATGGAACCTTTAGTAACAGATGGGAAGTGTAAGGAATACTACATAACCGTGACGCGGGAAGTAGATTTCATATGTTAATGTATGTGATAATGTTGGCGTGCATGGCATTTGGTTATTCGAATACTGAATTTAGTGTAAAACATTCTTATGTAATACTTCATTGTATGAATTAGGTTGAGAATCAGGAGTTGATGACATTTTTACCTGTAAACTCGAAGTCATATAGTGGAGGTATTGTGAACCCTAACCCATAGATTCTTTTTTATTTGTGTGGAACTTGTGGATCGTAGGATTATGTACGATAAAAGAAATGAGATATTAGAGATTCAGTTAGAGTATAATCCATCGATTTATCAATTTTCAAGTCTAGTGTATTGTAAAGGTTGGGAATAACCTGGATGAATGTTTATGTTTTGAGACAAAAAGGTGTATGAGATGATATTCTCGGTGATAAGGATACATGGAGGATAAATGCAACACAAAGGGAATGTGGTGACTTTGTAATTCATTATTTAGTAATGGTATATGATCTTGCATCACGATGATAAGATTTTATTGAGGCGCGGTCCACTTTAGAAAGTAAGTGTTTATTAAAGGATCAATGTGAATTGATTCTTGTTCTGGTTGTGAGTTGTTTGTCAATATGGACTATGTGGTGATTGAGTCCAAAATAGAATGTTATCAATTATTTGATATCTTGGAGAAATTAATCACTTTGATGGTATGGGATGGATTAATGTGATTTAGAACGAAGAATTGGTTGTTTAGAAGATGACATGGAAAGAGGGAAGATAGTTTCCTCTAGTCAGAAAGGAGGAAGGTTGTATATGTGATTAATAAGAGTATGTTGAACAGTTTGCCCAAGTACTATATGGAAACCTAAAATTTGATGATAGGAAATGGTATAGATGAACTCCATAAGGGTATAAGAATGGGTAGTGTTACCTGAATAAGTAAGGAAGTAATTAAATGATACCAACCTTTAAGGTTAGTACTCATAAGAATCTCATTTTAAATCGAGAGTATGGAGTATCAAGATGAAATATTGAGGAAAGAAATGACAGGTATACCATATAGTGAAAAAACTGTTGGGTTTTATGTACTATAACACTTCTATGGTGCACATACAACCCTAATAGCTTTGGATCTAAGTTTTCTCTAGTTATAAATGCAACAAAAAATTATCCAAAGCATGAAGCCTACAATTAGTATACAATTTGACATATGAATCATAAAAGTACGTTAGAAGATTACCTCTTGTTCTAGCTTGTTGAAATTTGGCCTTTCAAGAGCTTATCACCCCAAGTGTGATGCCTCAAACAAGTCACAAACACCATGAACAAGTGGAGACTAATGAGTGAGGTTATGGAGCACACAAAATCGTCCATCTCTTTGAATAATCCACCCTTCGTCCGATTTTTGGCTTTAGTGGGTTACATATATAGTGTAGAATTCCAAGAGTTATATGTAACCCTAATTCTTACACATAGGCTTATGATCCATAACTTATTTGGACTAATAATTTATGGACTTTCACATAAACTTAGCCCATTACAAATTAATCATGGATTATTAGCCCAAACCATATGTCTCACTGATTTACATAATCAGTGCCTGTTAATTTAATTAGTCTCTTTTGATCCCTAAATTAATTCTTGATCAATACTAATTAAATAATATGATTTATCAATTAATATATTATACTTATAATATATTAATAAATCACAAATAACCTCTTTCTTAAAATCCATCACTACTAGAAAAACAGCCTTTTACGACGCGCAATTTATGATACGCATTGATTGACGATACGCAAAAGCGTGTGACCTAAAAATAATGTCATCTCTCTATAAATTTTAAGGATTTAGGACGCGCATTTTTGCATGCCCTTAAATTAGTGTCTAAACAAAAAAAACACGAAGGCCGCCTATAATAAAATGTGTGTCGTCTGAGGATGTCGCTTTATAAATTTTAATGGAAACGCGTGTTCCATCCTTTAATAGCTGGGGGGAAAATGAAATCCTAAAAAATTAAAATCCCCGCCTTCCTTTTTCTTCCTTTCCCTCTTGTCCTAATTATCGACGCTCCTTCCTTCCCCCTCCCAACATTGACTGCCGCCTACTTCTTCCCTCGCACTTCGACCATCGTTACTTGCCATTCCCAGTCGTGGACGTCGATCAAGGCAAGCACGGCACCAGCCAACAACCTTCACTCTCTCCTTCTCCTTTTCTCTGTAAGCCCTAATCCGCCTTCACCACTACCGAATCCCTTTTATTTACCCTAAAGGAATAATGCAACCAAGATCGTATCTCAGATCAAGTACTCCGGCGTGGAGTTAAGAAATGAGGGTCCGCTTTAGGTTCACATCCTCGCTGACGTGCAAGTATCATTAAATAAACGTCGCCGTAATATTCCTTGTACATTTTTTATTTCATTTTAGAAATGAATATCTTTACCCCCAAATATATTGAGCCCGTTCATATGTACATTTCCACGCCACCATCACAACCACGGTGGTCGCAGCCATTGTTCATGCCACCATCAGCCCCCTTCATAGTTTCTTCGGAAAATGGCTGCACATCCACTTCGGCGGTACTCACTTACAAACCAAATCAAATTTAGTTTCTGCAATGGCTTTGAAAATTCTAATAAAATTTTTCTCTGATCTAGAAAATCCATCGCAGAACTTCAAAGAACACAAATCATATAAGTTTTCGTCTCTGTTTTCTATTGAAGATGTTCTCGTTCTTCACAGTTTTCGTGCCAATTTTACAGTCAAACATTGAAGGTTATCGTGAAGGCTCCAACTCAATTCCGGTATAATTTCTTGCTTCACATTCAACTTGGTTTTTTAATTTGTTTTGTGACGAAATTATGGTGTACTTGGTTGTGATTAAAAGGTTGTACATTCGCTAATACGTTTGCTTTTAGATGAGCACCAAGTGCTCGATGAAATTTCCCAACGAGATGTTTATTTATTGGTTTATTTCTTGAACATGTTTTTCCTTTGATTTCTTGATTTTTATAATATATGGAGCAATTCCTCTATCATGTTAACCTTACTTGTAAGGTCTCACATTTATTTTTATTATAATTTTATTGTACAGTATAGGAATGAAAGAAGCCTACATGAATTGGGTTTAAATATTTGTGATACGACTTCTCTGGAATGGCCAAGAGCTCACTTGTTTAGAATTTTTAAACATTGACATTCTGTACACAAACCAATTAAAGATCTTGAGCTTACAGGGGTTTCAGTTTTCATAGTTTTCATTTTCATGTTATATATATACACATTCCTTTATCTGTTTTGATTCATGTATGACACTTACACTTAAAGCTTTTGCCTTTTGACAGATGGCTGAATACAGAATATGAATATATGGAAGAAAGAAAAGTGAGTGGGACAATTTGGCAAGTTGTATTGTAAACAAGGAATTATACAGTGAGAATGTTGTCTGGTTGATTCAGGTGTTGTATTACTACAATACAATGATACATATACTCATTTTCACCAAATCTTTATACTTTAATATCAACTAACATTATAATTTATATGCATACTTTGTGTTGTTCAGCTACCCCGGCTTTACAACATATACAAAGAAATGGGTATTGTGACATCATTTCATACCATTCTAGATAATGTCTTCCTTCCACTCTTTGAGGTTACAATTGATCCAGATTCACATCCCCAGTTGCATGTATTCTTGAAACAGGTAACACCACTCAAACTTAACATGTCACATAATTTGAATTTGATTTATTTTATTTAATGTAATGTTTTAACAATCTTATAAATACAATACAGGTGGTAGGATTGGATTTGGTGGATGATGAGAGCAAGCCTGAAAGACGCCCTACAAAACACATGCCAACACCTTCTCAATGGACAAACATCTTCAATCCTGCATTCTCATACTATGTCTATTATTGTTATGCCAATCTTTATACCCTAAATAAGCTTCGCGAATCAAAGGGCATGACAACTATTAGATTTCATCCTCATTGTGGGGAGGTATGTGTGCAAACGACGTAAATACCCACATCCTAATTGGAAATAACATTGTCGCATGTATGTTTGTGATCAGGCGGGTGACATTGACCACTTAGCTGCCTCATTTCTTACAACTCACAACATTGCACATGGAATTAATCTCAGAAATCCCCTGTACTTCAATATCTATACTACCTTGTTCATGTAACAACTAACAAATTCCATATTCCTGTTTATAATTTTTATTGATAAAATTTTTATTGTTATTATTATTATTATTATTTGGTCAGATTGGTCTTGCAATGTCTCCTTTAAGCAACAACTCGTTATTTTTGGATTACCATCGGAATCCTTTGCTGATGTTTTTTCTACGTGGGCTTAATGTTTCCCTATCTACTGGTGACCCCTTACAAATCCATCTCATAAAGGAACCCTTGGTGGAGGAATACAGTATTGCTGCTTCTGTAAGCACATTCCTACTCCACTCTCATTTTGCAATATGTGATGGGAATTAAAGTATCTTAAATTCTTTTTTTACAGGTTTGGAAGTTGAGTTCATGTGATCTTTGTGAGATAGCATGTAATCCCGTTTACCAATCAGGTTTCTCCCACCTTCTCAAGGTAAAAAACAGTTTCAAGTTTATAAATATGGGCAATGAACTTTATTAAGTTTTTGCATTTCTGTACCCGTTATAGCAATGTACTCAGTACTCACATTTATTTACAAATAATTAGCAACTTAGTAGGTTGGTTGGTGTTATGTGAAAGTGAAAGGGGTAAGTAAAATTTGAGAGTGATTTGTGTTTTTTGTTTTTTTTAGTCTCATTGGATTGGGCAAGAGTACTACAAGAGAGGGCCAGATGGAAATGATATTCACAAGACAAATGTACCACACATCCGACTTGAATTCCGAGATGTGGTTTGTATTTGTATTTTATTGAAAAGTGTATTAGTATGAATTTAAGCACCAAAAATAATGATTGTTACATGCATTTTGTTTATGATAATTTTGGTGATGCAATGCAGATATGGAGAGAGGAGATCCAAAGGTAGCTTTGTAATTGTTTGGTGTGTTGTAGTTAATGCTTATTGGAAGAGTTTTGACTGATGGACGAGTAAACGCCAAAGTGAAATATGACTTGTCTGAGAATCTTACCATGAAGACCAATGCTCTGGTAGAAGGGTAGATTAGTGATTATTAATTTATTATTTACATATAATACACATCAAGCATTTTTTGGCTGAATGAACGTTGTCGATAATTCATTTTTTTTTTCTTCTCAGCTTACAAGTGAGCCACACATGTCTCATGGAATGATCAATTTTGACTAAAAGGTAAATTATTAGTCTTGTATGCTTTACAAGTTTTCCATTTTTATTAAATTATGTCATTTTATTGGTAACTGTTTTGAAATTTGTATGCAGGGTACTGACTATCAGACTCAATTCCAGCTTGGAAATGGTGGTTTGATTGGTGCTAGTTATATTCAGGTAAAAGATTTCACATCTCTTATATTAATCTTTGGTTTTAATGTTTGGCTTATTACATTACTTTTGTCTCCTTAGTTGTATGTAGGTTTCATTGGCATCTGATTTAATGTACAATTACATGTTAAGAGATGTCACTGCCAGCTTTGGATATGATTATATACTTCGTGAGGCAATTCAATATAATTTATATTTTATGTTTCTTTATTTAAATAAAGTTTGGGAAATTGGCATCAAATCTTGGAGTTAATAAAGGATCATTTTAAAAACTAATCTTTTTTACATTGACAGTGTCGGCTTAGAGGCAAGATTGACTCAAATGGCTGCACATCTGCTTTTCTTGAAGGATCATTTTATGTTTCTTAATTTTATCATCTCTGCTGAGGTCAGTACATTTATCACACTCAGTAATTCCATGCATAAACACCATAAAGAAAAGTATTATATACAATAAATACCAATATACCTTTTCTCTAACAAAAGAATAGAATGACTCATTACATTCCATGATCATATTTGGTTGTCCTGTATGAATGAAATGAATTTTCATATGCTTTTTTACATCACATGTAAAAAATCAAACTAGTGGACCCAAAATCTAAAAAATCAAACTAGTGGACCATCATCTCTTTTATCCTGTTGATCCCTTTTGTCTTCTTATTAGAAGGCTTCAAGCATACATTTAATGGTTGAATATTAAACTTGATAAATACTTTATATTTTAATGGAACCCGGAACACCACATGGATCAAATATCATATCTCAAGTGCGGTCCCACATTCATTGGATGGAGAAAAGGGTAACTTCGTCTTTTACAACTAACATTCCATGTTTGATTCTTCTAATAATTATATTAGCATATTAATTTTTTTGACTTTTATTGGATCAGGTCACAATAATTATCGGAGCAGGGGTTCATTAGTCTTAAAGAATTATGAAAGGCAAGATGCAACTCTACTTAGTTGGAATTTGATGTTTATCATCTTTGTGTATATCTTCTTAGTTTGTATAGCATTACATTGCAGAAGGTGTCCCTTAATAGCAATGTACAATTAGGTTATATAGTTAGGGAAAACCTCTTAATAACAATGTACAATTAGATTCCCTTAATATCTATGTATTACAATCTTTTGACATGATGTTATTGGATGAAATTGATTGTTTTGGTATATATTTGATTACATATTTTTGTATTATGTGTAAATTAGTATCGTAAAGATGCGTCGTAAATGCATATCGAAAATGGTTACTGAAGTTTATGACACGCAAATGCGTGTCATCTTCATTTATGAAAGGGGCTTCCTTGATACGCATTGTGTGTCATAAACACGCGTGTCGTAAGGTTACGACACGCAAATGCATGTCGTCTTCCTTTATGACAGGGCCTTCCTTGATATGCATTGCGTGTCATAACTGCGCGTCGTAAATGCGTGTCATAAATGCGTGTCGTATATGCGCGTCGTATATAGACGACGCGCAAAAGCGTGTCGTCTCTCTTTATGACAGGGCCTTTCTTAACACGTATTTGCGCGTCGTCTGAGCGTTTTACGACACGCATTACGTGTCGTAAAAGGCTGTTTTTCTAGTAGTGCATCCTATCAAATTGTCCTGATGAAGGCAACTCGAAATGGACCATGCTACTCTCAGGTCAAGTACATATCAGTTATAGGTATGGGCTTAGACACCTAATCCAAGAAAGACAAGATTGAAGAGATGACCATGAATATAAGAGAAGATGACCTTCTTGTTGAATATATCAAGAAGAATTTGATTATTAGTATTATGTTAGTTCGATTGAGAGTTATACATGTTGTTTATTCGTGGCTAAGTGTATACCGTAAGTCGAATACCATGTGTTAGGTTGGAATGATCGATTATTATGAATAAAAAAATTGGTCCTAATTTGTAATACGACCCAAGTATTGTTACTAGGATATAATTTGTTGATAAGATGCGCATGATAAATAAAAGTGGAGGATAAAACCAAACAGTCTTTGTGACTGTAATGCTAAATTTCACGAAGCTTCGGGGTAGTCTTGGTGATCGTAATATCTTGAATACGAATTATGGAATTTAGTGGTAATCTGAGTGACTGAAATACCACTGTATTGGGAATTGTTGATCATGGTAGTCTTGGTGACTGTAATACCATTGATTAACATGTATGATAGTAGAGAAAGAATGGTGAAAGGTATGATAGATGTTGTAGGCATGTTGGAGAACTTGTTATTGAATGAAAAGCATATTGCTATATGATATAGTAATCACTGATAGAAAAATGGTTTATACATGCATATGAATACATGAGAATGATAATGTATGTTGTTATAACTTAGTCATAGCTATTTTGACGATATTTCAAGGACGGAATCTTCTTAAGGAGGGGAGCGCTTATAACTCCATGATTTTCATAACATATATTATTATATAATAATTGATAGGAATTAGTGGAATAAAGTGATAGTTCACTTTTAGATGAATCTGTAGATATAAAGATTGTCCAAAACAGAGTTCGTGGGAGAAATTTATGACCGTTAGAAAAGTATGTTGCATTTAAGGAAATCCTGCAGGATGCGGAGCTCCCATGCTGAATCTCAAAAAACATATTTCGATCGCGTAGGACATGTAAGGAACAACGACAGACACGTGGCGAAAATCGGACAATCCTTATCAACATTGTGTGGTGGCGCAAAGGTATAGGAATATGTGTTTTGTGTCGTTTGAGGGGGGTTTTGGCACACACGATCTGGGGAGAGGCTCAGAAGATGATTTCGGAGAAATGTTACCTCAGAGTCATAGTAGTGTATGGGAATACTGTAAGATGAATATTTTCTCATGCAATCCCTTGCCTTTCATTAAACCAATATATATACATGATTACAATATCGGCCGATGGCCATCTACTGGACTATACAGTAAAAATAAATACAACACATATGAGACCACTAACAGCCCCGAGGCCATCGTTTGGGTAAGGGTTTCTCTCATTTTTCACCTCTCACCCTCATCTCATAATCTATATCACCTTTTATCTCATCCTCTAACTCATCTTTCATCACACACCAACTATTTCATCTACCCATGTTTTACCCAACATATTTGTAGATATAAAATACATATACAGTTCAGATCTGAAGAAATAGTTTAGATCTGTAAAGAAAATACATATACAGTTCAGATCTGAAGAAAAAGGTCTAGATCTGAAAAACAAAGTATAAATCTTTCATCCAGCATAACTTTCAAAGCATAAAAATACATATACAGTCTAGATCTGAAGAAAAGTTCAAATCTGGAAAGAAAGAAGTTTAGATCTTTCATCCAGCACAGATATCAAGTACAAAATACATATATACAGTTAAGGTCTAAAAAGTTTAGATCTGAAGTGAGAAAGTTTAGATCTGAAGGGAGAAGTTTCAGATCCAAGAGAAAAAGTTTAGATCTGGAAGATAAAGTTCAGATCTGAAAGAAAGAAGTATAGATCTTCATCCAGCATACATCTCAGGTAAACAGGTAGAATATATATACACATAGCACGTAATTTATATAAAAATACTTCATATCTATGTGTAAGATGAAAGTGACTATGCCCTCACCTGATAAGGAGTGATTCGGACAGCACTTCGCTTCTTAAAATAATTTCCTTCGACGAAACTGGGAAGTTTGCTTAAAAACCGGGCTCCGCGCGGGCAGAGTTTCAAACCCAAAAACTCTTTTTCTCGGAGCCTTCGGGCTCTCCAGGGATTTCTTCTAGTGCTAGGGAGGTTTCCCTAGCCTTTAGGGGGGGTTTAGGCGCTAGAGAGAGAGTGTAGAGAGAGAAAGTAAAAGTGAATTTGTGAAGAAAGAAGGCTGGCTTCGGCCTCTATTTATAGGCATGAGTTGCGGAGTACGTTGGGCGTACCTTCGCTGGTACGCTGCGCGTAAGGACAAGTGTCCGAATCTCGGTGGGGCTACGTGGTTGCTTCGGAACCGCAGAAGGCCGGACCGCTGGGCGTTCGTTCCTCGTACGCGGGGCGTACTCGGACACGAGGCATTCCTCGGCTACGATGGGCGTCCAAAGTAGCATGTGTCGACATCGGGTGCGTGACCGTGGGGAGCAAGGGAGGGCTGAGATTGTGACACGTCATCGCTTCTCGCAACAGCTTCGCAAATAATCCACTCGACTTCTAAAATTCGTAACTTTCGCATACAAGCTCCGTTTTCGACGTTCTTTATATCCACGCGTAGGTGGGATCGTACTCTACAACTTTCGTTTAGACTCCGTCGGATAATTTTGAATTTATTTTTAAAGTTATATTTTTAACAGGTTGGGACACGAAAAGTCCGTTAAAAATTCATAACTTCTTTATCCGACGTCCGTTTTTGTCTGTCTTTTTACCGTTGCGCTACTATTAACTGCAACGACCCAAAATTTTCAAAGAAATTTTTATTTTTAATTAATAAAACACACTTGCATAATCCATGGAGTCCCAACATAATTGTTTTCAAATCAGTATTCATTACAACTTATTTAATTCATCAGAGTGTCCCCAAAAACATATCCGTAAAAGAGATAGAGTGCACGCCGCGCCATCACGCCTTACCCTTTCCCTTGGGCTCAGATGTACCTGAAACAATTCCACAAACTGTAAGCGAATGCTTAGTGGGTTCCCCAGAGCATACCACACATACAAATCAATTATCACATATCATATTAGCCCTAAGGCTACATACATCTCATAAGTCATGCATACAACTGATAAGGACGCCGCAGGCTCGTCCCCAAGGTCTTACTCCAGGATGTCATGGGCTCTCCCGCATGGTCTTACACCTAATTGCCATGGGCTCTCCCATGGTCTTTGATAGGAAAGCCATGGGCTCTCCACATGGTCTTACATTCGAGTGACATGGGCTCTCCCACGGTCTTCCATACAACATACCACATATATCAAAAGCATATTTCCTAGTTTCTACCAACTATCATGTCACATAACACAACCTCAACTAGGATACTACACATCATAAAATGGGCTGGCCTTGGTGCCTTAGACCCATTGGTATGGTGAGGAGACTCACCTCAGTCTCCTGAATACAAAAGCTGTTCTCCTAACAGTCTGTAACCTCCCGTGCTGAATAGTAATTTTAAACAATGTTAGGACTTTAATTAGTCAAGGAAACCCAAACTCCAAACCCTTCCCTAAAGCCCAATTATCCATCCCTTGCTAACGGGCCCAAAGTCCAATTCCAAAATCCCTAACGGGCCTCTTGGCCCAAAAAGGCCCAATCAATATGTCCATGGCCCATAATAGATGATATGACTTATAATTCTCTGAAATAGCACCATGCCCAATAATCAAATGAGGCCCAATAGCTTAAAGGCCCAAAAACGGATTCGGCCCAACTGTGATGCGTACGCTTAGCATACCATCCTGGTACGCGCAGCGTACTGGGGTTCTAGGGCTTACGCGCAGCGTACACTGGGGTACTCGATTCTTTTACGTCCAGAAGTCAGATCCAACCGATTAAGCACTTTTTCCATTAAGTGCTTAATACTCGATTCTTTTATGTCCAGAAATCAGATCCAACCCTATTAAGATGACCTAAGGCATAAAGTTGGCAATTTTATGCCTTTGCATGTCTCAAATGCTCCCAACACCCTCATTAAGACATTTTTAAAGCTCTTAGCCCATGCATGAGGTCAAAATACCCATGAAGACTCCATCTTTATGTTTTAAAAGGACTAAGGGACCTCAGATCTGTCATTTCCATCCTTTGGAGTTGCTTAACTCACAAATGGAGGTCCAAAATCAACCAAAAGGGACAAAGATGAAAACCCTAGCTAAATCTAAAGATTAAAGAAGAAAGATCCAAGCTTTTTACCTCCACTAGCTTTGCAAGATGACTAAGATGCAGGTTCTTGAAGCACCAACTTGTTCCAAGCTTTCTTGACCACCTCTTCTTCTTGAAATGAACACTAGAAGGCCACAAATGCACTCTTTAAAGCTCAAAATGATCTCACAAGTTTCTCTGGAGTGTAAGGACGTTCTAAGGTTGTGGAGGATCTCTTGGGTTAAGTACAAGGGACTTAAGGTCGCT